GAAATATCTAGGAAGACGCCTATTGCGGACTCGTTCATAGAGAACGCTTGGCGGATGGCCGTGGAGAAAATACTGAGGCTGTCAAGGGTGCTCATGCCCCTTCTAAAGCCAAACTGAGTTCTTGAAAGGATACCCCTTTTCTCTACTATCCATTCTAACCTGTTTTTAACGAGGTGTTCGAATATCTTGCACAGAGTAGAGGACAGGGCGATTGGTCTGTATGAGCTTGAATGATTTGGATCCTTGCCCGATTTTAATATTGGGATTACGATCTGAAGTTTCCAGACAACAGGGACTGACCCACTCGAAAAAATGAGGTTCAAAATATCAAGGAATACTTTTTTAGCATGGAGTGAGCAGTTGATGATGAAGGAATATGGGATACCGTCGGCGCCCGGGGAAGTGTCTTTTAGACCGTCAAGAGCAGAATATAGGTCAGCAAGTGAGAAAAGGGAGTCCATACTGTCTGTGGAATTGATATCAGAAAAGGTTAAAAAGTTATCTTTGCAGGGAACGAAAGAGGGAGCCAGTTTGCTGACAAAGCCCGGGAGCCACGGGGCTGTGTCGTTGGAAGCAATATTATAATTATAGTTTTGAGAACGTCGATATGCGCTTAATTTTCTCCAGACGAGAGCGGGCGGAGTGCAGGGGGAGAGGGACTCACAAAAGTTTCGCCAACCTAACATCTTTTTTTTAGCTAACAATCTTTTTGACATTGCTGTGATCTTTTGAAAATTTAGATATTTCGGGAGCGAAGTTAGGTCCTCACAGAACTCACGCTCGGCTTCGTTGCGTTTTTTAATTTCTGCAGAACAGTCTGAATCCCACCAAGGCGGAGAGGAGATTCTGGACCGAGCGGAATTTTTAAGCGGAATAGAGTCGTTTGCAGCGGTTAGCAAGAGGGAAACGAACACATTGTACATCTCAAGAAACTTGGAGTTGTCGATATCTTGGATCTGGGTTTCCAGGTTAGCGTCGACGAGGCGGGAGAATTTGTCCCAGTCAGCCAATTTAACCCTATATTTGAGGAGGGGAGGGGGGTCTGGTTTAGGGGAAGAGATACGGTCTAAATATAATAATATGGGAAAGTGATCGCTGCCGTGAGAGAAGCTGAGAGTTTGCCAAGTTAAGCTGGCTAGTAAATCTGGGGAGGCCAGAGTGATATCTACGCAGCTCTTATTTTGTAGGGGAGAGACCCTACAAGTGGGTAAGCCGTCATTGCATACGCATAGATTCAAGTCATCAAAGAGGTTGAGAAGGGCAATAGAGTTAGAACAGCAATGGGTGGAACCCCAAAGAAAGTGGTGACAATTAAAGTCGCCAAAAATAATTACACTGTCTGCGAAGAAAGAATGCAAGATTGTCTTTATTTCAGAGATGATATTTAGGTTAGGGCGAGGAACATAAATAGAAATGAATGATATGTTTGTGGATTTGATAGCTACCATTTGGAAGCCATCATTATGAGGCGGGAGAGTAATTTGGGAAAACGGAATTTTGAGATCGACCAAAATGGCAGTACCTGCCCTGCCGTCGTCTCTGTCGTCCCGGAGGCACAAATAACCTGGTATTCGAAAGGTAGAGCCAGGCTTAAGCCAGGTCTCCGAGACAGCAAAAACGGCGGGCTGGTATTTGTTAATTAGGTACATTAATTCAGGCTTTTTATGTCGGATACTTTTACAGTTCCACTGAAGAAAATTGACCATTTTGTTTGATGAGGGATATAAAAGATTATAGTACAGGGAGGACATTGGGCGGTATGATTTCGCTAAATCTGGAGACTATATTAATTAGAGAAAACAGTAGTAGTTCGATCAGGTTGTCATTGGGTGAGGGCGAATGGGTTTTCCCTCGGGGGGGATTCAAAGCGCACCCATTAGGTAGCTCAGATATAGGGGTACGGGAAATATTTTGTACTTCAGCGTCATAGGTTCTGGACACAGAGGGGCGGCGAGGACAAACTGTGATTGGGAATTTATTATGAAATACAGAGGATCTATGGGTTTCATTAGTTGATTGTCGAGCTGTGGTAGATGGTTGGTATAGTGGAGAAGCGGGTTGAGAGGTCGCTCTAGACGTTGGGCTGCGGGCAGTCTCAGCATAGGAAGCTCGGACGGGTCGGAAGCGAGTAGCAGCTTCTGAGAAGCTGATGTTCTCCTCCGACATAACGAGCTTTATTGCCTTTTGACGAGCGTGCTCTGGGCAGATGCTATCAGTAGCCCTGTGGGAGCCTCTGCATAATAAGCAAGAGGATTCGTCATCGGGAACAGTACAAGCTTCGCCTGAGTGTGCTTGAGCGCATCTGTAACACCTGGGTGCAGATCTGCATTGGTCAGATATATGGCCGAATCGGCAGCATTTCCTGCACTGAATAGTTGGTAGTTTGTTGATTTCGACGGCTACTGAGGTATGGAAACAATAGACTTTCTCAGGTAAGCGTTGACCCCGGACAGTCATAACTACTGTTGTAGTGGGAATCCATTGCGTAGTGTCGTTTAGGCTAAGTTTTCTACTCAGTCGCCTAAGTTTTATAACAGGGCCGCAATTACTCGAGAAGGATAAACCGGAAAACAATTCTTCTAAAGACCAGTCCGCAGGGATGCCCCGCAGGACTCCCATACGGCTGACGTGAAATTTTGGGATCTGCCTCAGAAAGTTGTCGTCGAATGTTTTTGCCAAAAAAGTGTTCGCCTCTTCGGCTGATTTAAATTCAACTGCGATTTTATTACGACCTAGAGGTTTAACACCTCCGTCAACAATTCTTTTTGTGCCAAGCTTATGTAACAACTGGGCCAATTTGAGAACCCGAATAGAGAGACCCGATGCTGGGCCAGACTCCTCACGCGAGATGTGGACTATGAAGGGTCCAACGTCCTGCGAGGAGTATGCCAGGTCGGAGTCGCCATCAAATTTAGGATTGACGAAAGTGTTTTGGATGGAATCGGACGGGCGGACACTTTTTTTAGCAGAGTCTTTGTCTGGTAAGTGGCTGGGGGCAGGACGCTTCTTGGAGCCTAATGTTTCCGTGTCCATGCTTTGTGATGCTGAGAAGAGTGGTTGGGATGGGTCATCCCAAGCAAGTGAGAATCTGAGGCCGCCCCCATCAGGGGGCTCCTCTTCGGTCATAGCACTAAAAAGTTTTGTACTAACCCTGCTTTCCAATTTGTTGGGGATAGATAACCGTCAACAGTGAAAACAGCAAAATTGGAATGATTTTTTAAACTATAACCTCAACGATTTTCAATACTACACGAGCTCACCACCGGCTATCAACACACGAAAAACCGTTTGAATTGATAAAATCAAAATATACGAATTTTCGATAATTTTACGTCGCCCATCACGATGACAACCATAGACCAATTTCGGCACTGCAACTGTTTTGGACGGGTGTGACACTTAACACCTGGCGCACTACTTGTTCATCCTATCACTTGATATCATGAAAAAACAAAATTACAATCTAAGTTTATCAATTTATCAGTTTTTATTCTGAAGTTCCTCAATTGTAATACTTTTTTTAAATATAGTGTTTTTTTTTAAAAGGACATTATGGGGAAATCTGTAACCATAGAAGATACAAGGAAACTGTCTTAGGAACCAGTAAGTCTTTTTGTGAAAACAATTTTGGCATAATATATTTTTTGGTCACTTGTCCATAAAAAGGATAAAATTGATCAAAATTTTTTTAGTGCTGATTGACACAATTTCATGAAGGCATCATTTGATTGTATATGACGAAAAAATCGGGACAGCACAAGTTTTTCTGAGAGTTCGATCTTTGTATTAATAATGACTACTACTGTTAATTTATTCGATAATATAAACAAATACATAACAGAAAAAAATCGCAAATTTGGCAATATTTTAATATCATTGCTGTTTTTTTGTTGTGCCGAATGCAAATTTCTCGCGGTGGAGAAGGAACAAAAGCAATTAAAAAAAATACAAAATACAAAATAATTTATTTTACAAATGAACTTGTGCAGGCACATTACAATTTAGTTACGACAAAGAAACAGGTAACACAACTCAATTGTAGCGTATATCGCTTACAGAGAATTTCCTACGATTCCTGCACTAGGCAAAACCTGTCTCGCAGGTAATCAATAAAAACATTGTTACTTTCTATTATTATTAAAAAGTTTTTTTTTAAACATATTTTAAACACATTATCAAACAAACATATTACCAAAAATTATTATTATTATATAAGACATTATTTTATTTTATCTTATCATATTTTTATATTATTATATTAGATTATATATATATTGTATAATGTATAATATTCATTCTATTTTCAGTTCAATACCAATTACCTTATACATACATACATTTATATAGGATGAGTGTGTGTCTTTATGACATTGTGTGTGTGTATGTGTGTGTGCGTAAGTGCGAGGGTGTGTGCGTGCGTGCACGTGTATGAATTAAGGATTGAGGCAGTGAACTAGCGCACCTCCTTTAGCAAGTCCTCTATTTCATTGTATGTCAACGTGCGTAGCAACTTATTGACCCTATGCTTAAGTTCCGAATTTGAGCAGAGCTTGACGCTGTACAAGGTGTTAACTCTATTGTATATGTACGGATGCAAGAATTTTGGAAATCTTCTAGCGAAGGTGGAGTGTATAGCTGGTAGATGAAGTTTAAAAAGCCTATTTTCGAATAACTTACAATTTTTTTTAATTACATTATTCTTTGGCTATATTAAAATTTCTGGTTGTTATAAGTATAAGCCAGGCACTTGATACGCCCTATATTATTTGGTGTCTTTAATTTCTTTGTGATCGGAAAGCTGGTCTCGTTTATGAAAATAAATAGAACCAACTTTTACCACTTCATTATTTTTCCAATATTCGTATACCAAATGGTGCATCATAGAGAAACTTTTAAATATTATATAACATCAAAACTGTGCCAATATTACTATGTACTTTTCTACCTATGATGATGAATAAAAATGTTGTTATTGTTATGGTCTTTGTTGATTGTTGCAGAGCTGTTAGTCGGAGATGAGCTCGCCACCGCCGGTACAGTTAGAAGTGGAAGTAGGTGACGAGCCTATGGAGGAAGACGCTGCCGACATGATACCAGCTGACAGGTATAGCGCAGTTTCATACTGTTCATTAACATTTTAGTAAGCACGGACGCCTGGGAGTCTACTCCCGCTCCGTCTGACATCCGTCCGAAACAATTATGCTGTCAAATAAGTAATACTCGACCAAATGGAAAAGTCGCATAATGCGAATGAAGCTTCATAATTGACAGTGCCTTCTTGATTTGGTCGTGTATTCATTATTTCACAGTAATTGTTTCAGACTGATGTCTGACGTTGTTTCGGATTGATGAAAACATTTCCTAATTCGTCCTTGGACTATGGAGTAAAAAGTATGTACATATAATGTAACTCGGCGCGTTTCGCCATTGCGCTCCCGCTAAACATACAACACACGTTTAATACAGACGAAGCGTACTGCCAAATAGGATCCAACCCATATTTCCGTTCGATTTTCTATTTCTAAGTTTTACCATATTGTTAAATTTATTTCCAACTTACAGCTGTCACTATAGGCTGTACCTACTACGATCGTCTAAACATAGCAAATCTTACTTAATGACTTTTAACTTAAATTATAATGATTCAATTCATTAATATAATGAATCTTCAAGAAGCGGAACAAATACTATTGTTTATGCCAATCCCCTTTAATTAGTTACTACATACTAAGTGTTGCTTAATTAAAAGAATTGTAATTTCAATATAATAATAATAATGTAAGACCAAGACAAGACAAGACCAGTCTTGGTCTCGCATCGGTACACCTGGTCTTGTACTGCACACTCAGACTTGATCTCGGTCTTGCTGCGAGAGTTTCGCAAGTCTTGCAATTATTTGTTAGATATGTAAATTACGACGCCGATTATCGTAAATCGCACCTGCGAATAACCTTATTATAATGTTTGACGATGACCGGTATCGTACAAATCCATTAATAACAATTCTTAACTAACAAACATACTTTAGACAATTAAAAAGATGAGTGAAGAGAGCGTAAAAAAATTTTACGTGTTTGCACAGAATTAATTTCAATTTATTATCAGTCAACGGCATATCAACCTATCCAAAAATTATAAGTTTATTCAATCGATATTAAACTCAATGGGTTCGGCTTTAAGTTAAACCTCTGTTGTGGAAGTTTTACATTTTGGAATAAGCTGTTGTCTGTATGTTAGCGAGACATGGAAAATTAAATGAAATTTATATGGCATTGGATAAAAAGATGTGTGGAAAGCAAATGTAGAAATGTGTCATATTTTACAAAATAAGGTAGTTTGATGAATGTCACTTCGTTTTGTTTAGTTTTATGGGAACTATCACTGTGTAGTTAACGTTTATGCAGTCCAATAAAAGAGTACCTATTATAATATACTTATTATTATTTCAAATACAGTTAATAATAATAATGTACCTAACGTCACCATCGCAAATCCTTGCGAGGACTAACTAAAGTGTTCGGCTACATTCCGTGCACCTCTGAATTAATTTTATTCTTTGGAACACCGGCGGCTCTTTGCAAGAGCTCGGTCGCTCAAAGAGCGATGTCCACGACGCTGCGACACTTGCCGCACCGCCTTTTAAGAAGGTGGTCTTTTTGGAAAATTAACTAGAGTTATGCATATACGTGTGCCGTGTTATAACTTTGGAAAATAAAGTTTCATAACATTTCAACTAACATCATTGTAAATTGTAGAAATTGTTAAAATAAAAAAGTTTTTAAAATATATTATTCATCTCTTATTACGACCTGCAATATACCTAAATTTCTTTAAATTTAGACATTTATGCTACTAATACACATTTCCGTCGATGTGCTAGACTAAAGGTTGGTCACGAATGCTGAACTTCTATAAAATTGTCATTTTGAATGTAGTAATAATGGATGGGTTAAATCTTCTATGTAAATTTGTAATCGTCACAGAGTTAACTATACCATATTTGTACAATTTTTTTAACCACTCTTAATGTATAAAGGTTTTAATTTTTTTGAGATATCGAATTTGGCATAAACCATTGTTATTTAATTACTAGACGCAAATTATAAACATAGTAATTACAAATCTTTTGATAAATAATATTTATCAAAAGAGATCCCACATTCAGATTATCAGAGACTTCGAACGAATTTGGACAAGACTAAGGTCTTGTTCAATGAGCTCGTAATCCCGGAGCCGATCTCGATTAATGGCGAAACGCTCGAAGTTGTCTGAGAATATGTCTACCTTGGACAAACCCTGCAACTAGGCAGAGAAAACTTCAAGCGTGAAATAGCTAGGAGAGTGCAGCTGGGTTGGGCAGCATTTGGTAAACTGCGTCATATCTTCTCGTCACCACTTCCGCAGTGCCTAAAGTCCAGGGTTTTTAACCAATGCGTCCTACCGGTCATGACCGGATATGACGGTCAATCTGGCTCACAGACTACACGTCGCTCAGCGAGCTATGGAAATGTCTATGGTGGGTATCTCGTTAAGGGACAAAGTCCAGAACGAAGTTATCTGGCATAAGACTAAAGTTGTGGATATCGTCCAGAAATGTAGCAAGCTGAAGTGGCAGTGGGCTGGCCAAATCTGTCGCAGAACCAATGAGCGATGTAGTAGACGGATTCTCGAGCGGTGACCACGTCTCGTCAAACGTAGCGTAGGACGTCCCCCTGCAAGATAAACCGACGATCTGAAGAAGGTCGCGGCTAGTGGTTGGATGCAGAAAACGGATAATCGGGCACTATGGCGTACACTTGGGGAGGTTTATGTCCAGCAGTGGACTGCAATAGGCTGATTGATTGATTGACTGATAAATAATAGTTCTCTAACATTCGTAAAATTAAGGAGCAATGATAAAAGATAATCAAAAATCTTTAATGCTTACTATCTGGAAATTGCCATTCTGCGGGTTATATGCATAGTATCTTTAGTATCTTTATAAGATATCACCGACCGACGGCAAATAAAAATAACTATTGCTTCTCTTTCAAATTACACAAGCATTCAATCGCATATAAGAGATAGAGCATAATTGACTGCAAACCACAGTGTTAAAATTTGCTATATTTGATAACGCTTGTTTTAAATGAATAAGGCTGTGTTTGAATTAGTAGTTTTATGACAATCTTGGTAGGTTATAATTTTAGGCATAAAATGCGTAAAAGAATTCCGTTCAAAGTAAATGCGGGACCTTCTTGTTCTTGCCCAAGTCTTGCAGGGTCGGTCTTAGTCTTGCTACAATTTGGTGGTCTTAGTCTTGCTACAATTTGGTGGTCTTGGTCTTGCATTTTTGCAAGATCTAGACTGATTTTGGGCAACACTAACCGAGATATAAAACGAGAGTAAGAAAAAAACAAGGTATACCGAACCCGTAGTATCAGTAGATAAACTTTATCGGTCAGGAAATCCAATGGACAACAATAACATATTTGTTCATTCTGCTTTGTGAAAAAACTCCCGAGGCATGTGTAGTTGGCGTTAAAAAAAATAAACGAAATTATATTATTATTAAAAATATATATACGAGTGTCTCTCAACGGTGAACTATTGTGATTTTTTAAATAATAAATAATATTAAAAAAAATTTAGTACACTTTTATAATTTGTGGTCATAATTAAAGTTTTTCTAGATTGTGTTTTGTTTGTACGATATTGTGTGCTTCCGACATGCGGCATTTAAAAAAGTGCGTCATGATGCTTATTAAAATAAAATATGTGACCCAGAAGGAGAATTGTTTAAATATCGTATGTAAATTTAGTATTCATTCGGCGACTAAAGACACGGTTCTCTAGATGACCGATTTTTGGTATTTGCTGTAACTTCCATACTGTCTAAATTGAAAAGACGAATTTGTGTTAATGTAACGTGAAGTGAACTGGTAAATAAAATGTTGAAAAAACTTTGTATGGCTTGTTGCCGATCGGACATAGATGTGCCGAGCTTCGATGCTACAGATATGACTAACGAAACTAATCAATGGTAAGCTTCTTACGTTAATTTTTTTATAGTCTCAAGCAACGGGGCTTACATGTCGTGCGCCTGATCGTAAGCGATACGCCTATCTTGACAGATAGTGCCACACATAGCTTTAAATCGCAAAAATTTGAGGGGCACTGCCACTGCGTCCGCCACCCTGAGACGTAAGTTGACAAATCCCATGTGTCTGTAACTTCACCAGCATCCTTACCCTTCAAAACCGGAACACAGTAATGCTCGCATTATTGCTTGATGACAGAAATTAGTCCCCTGGACAAACTTTTACACAAAGGGCTCTACTGCTACTAAATGATAATAGAGAACAATACGCATGTTTAGTTGAACATTTTGGTACACAGAAATATGTGTTTAAATGCAAATAATGTACATATTGACGATAATGAACTTGAAGGCTCGAGGTTGGATCGAGAAGATTTCGGATATATAATACGTAATTATGTATATATATATGTTGTAGTAAGAAATAAAAGGGGAGACGTTGAGGGAAACTCCCTCGTCAATAATTGTGTCAGGAATTGTTTGATAATTTGTCTATACGTTCTTCGTCATAAATTCGTTGGGCACTGCGATGAATAATAAAGTCAAAATAGTTAAAATTAGATCCAAAACGACCTGTCAAACTGCTTCCCCGCCGAAAAACTCACGCCATTCGGTGTTACCCGGTCTAAATAGTAACTACAGCCATTGATTAATCAAATAAACTAAGTACTCGATGTCACGATAATCAGTAATCACTATTTTAATAACGCGCCATTATATACATATTTCTAAGTAAACTTACTTTTTTTAAATAATTATTTGGGTAATTTTCAGGTCAGTTTTTTGTATCGAGTTCTTAGGTTTTCGCGATTGTTGCACATAGGAAATGAAACTATTTTTCCGGATTTAAATCGCGTATATTTGTTTTTTCAAACAAACCGACGTTTGTTTCGGGACCTGTTGTCGGATCTTTGCTTTTGGTATTTATTTGGTTTTTCCTCAAATATTATTATTTTATATTATTATTGAGGCTGCGTTTCAGCGTCATTATTAAGTTATACAGATAATGCTGAAATGGGACTAGT